CATATCCCAAAAAATTCTAAGAATAATCCGCTCATCATAATCCGAACTGATCATCAAAATCCGCACCAATCATCATAATCCGCTCCGCTCATCATAATCCGCTCATCATAATTCGCACATCATAATACGCACCGCCCATCATAATCCAAACCGATCATCAAAATCCACACAGCTCATCATAATCCGCATTGCCCAACAAAATATTAATTGAAACATTTTTTTTTCTCTATCTTAACATTTGGTAGTCATATCCCCACAAATTCTAAGAAGTATTTTTTTGTAATCTCATGGACGAAATGTGAGAAATAATGTGTGTGTATGTGTGTGTGTGTATATATAAAGTGTATGCAGTCAATATTTCAGCTCATAGGGTACTTGACAGAAATCTGTCCCTACAGTGAAAAGACCATTTTGTGTTTCCCTCCCAAGCCAAAAGTCCCAGTTCTCCCCTGATTGAAATACATATATGGCAGCTTCTTTACCTTCCATAGTATTTGACATTTTCCACCCTATCCTGAAATTTCTGCAAGTGCATTCTGTCCGCCTGTTAATGGCCCGTTAACACAAATGGGCAAGGCGGCACACTCTTTACAGCCGGTTGCCGTAAGTAAACTTTGTATTTTTTCCTGCTCGCAGGATGCATAAGTGATGTGTATTGCATTACTTCCACTTAAAGTCTGTCATTTCTCTGGCTGCTGTGGTCTAATAGACCATGTCTATTAGACATGACTATGGGGTCTATTCACTAAGCTGCCGTAGGCAGCCGAGTGAACGACCGACCTGAAGCGAAGTGAGCCGAATGCTGTTCGGCTATTCACTTCAGGCTGGTACGGCTGATTCCAGCCATATATCGGCTGAAATGAGCCGTACATCGGGTGGCTTCGTGTCGGCCAAACATGCTCAGCATGTTTGGCCGACCCGAAGTGCAGAGGGAGTTCGACTCAGCCGATCCAACATCTGGATCGGCTAAGCCGAACCTCCGGCAGGCTACTCGCTGCTGTTCGGTTTATTCTTATAGATGCCAAACAGCAGTGAGTAAATAGCCAAATACCACTGCGCGAAAAATAGTTAAAGTAGAAAAAATTAAATAGAAAACGATTGTGCTGAGCTAGCAGTGACAGCTAGCTCCGCCCAACTGTTTTCTATTGGCTGGGCGGTTCTGCTGACGTAAAAAAAAAAAAAAACATTTCGCCTTAGGAATGCATTGCTAGATTCCTATTTGCTATTTCAATTTGCAATAGCCAATAGCAAACTAGCTATTGCACCCACCCTCTGCTGCTGTCAATCACTAGAGGGGACCTGATGGAGAACTGCAGGTCCCCTCTGCTGATTGACAGCAGCAGTGGGCGGGTGCAATAGCTAGTTTGCTATTGGCTATTGCGAATTTAAATAGCCAATAGGAATCTAGCAATGCATTCCTATGACAAAAAAAATGTTTTCCTTTAATCTGACGGCAGCCAACGGTTCGATTTAAAATTTAAAAAAGCAGGGAAAGGTTTACTCTGCTTCATCAAGCTGAGCAAAACTTTCCTTTTAGAAAGTCTCTCTCTCCCCCGGGCGGCCGGGAGCCGCTATCTAATAGCGGGAGACTCCCGGAGCACCCGGGAGAGTTGGGCTGTCTGGAGATCAGTGTCCCTGGTAACCAGGAACGCTGATCTCTCTGCTGTACGGGCTATAGTGAATAGCCCGTACAGCAACCCTTCGGTTCTACTGAACCGAAGGGGTCCTGGGGCCAAAGCTAGCCGAAGGATCAGCCGAAGCTACGGCTAGATCCTTCGGCAGCTTCGTGAATAGACCCCTGTGTCTCTGTCTACATGTCTATGTCTCTGTCTACATGTCTATGTCTCCATAAAGAGGACCTGTGACTGTATATGTGCTACCACATAGGGGGCTTATTAGCCCCCTATATGATAGCAATACAGTTCAGTTGGTGACCTCACGTTTCTGTACTGCAGCTAGTAGCCACTTCCTCCCTTCAGTGTGTGGTTGGTCAATAAAGGAGCAGCAGTACACTGATGAGCTCATCTCTCTGCTCCCTCTTTCTGCCAGTATGTCCTTGTTAACACCTGCTGCCGAGCCTGATTGGCTCAAACTACTGCCTCTCCCTTGCTTAGGCGGTACACTAGTTGTATTTAAAAATGCATTTATAATGAATACATACCTACATTACACAGTCATTTTTTATGTTCCTTTCAGATTTTCACTAGCTTGTTCTATAATTTGTTAATGGGATGCCATATATAGTTTTCTCTCTAGTAACCATCTGTATATGTGATTGTGATGAGGAAATTAATAGGCTGATCAGGGAATGTGATTCGCATCGCTGCATATTAACTGGTAATATAGGTCAGATGACATGCCATATTAAGGAAGCAGAACCTTCATATGTAATGAGCAAGTGTGACTGCCCTCACATCCATATGCTGCTTATTTACAAACTGTACACAGAATCAAGGTTTTTAGAACAGTAACCCACACCGATACAGCTGATCATATGTAAAAATTGTAATAAAAAACAACTAAAACTTCCCTTCCATGTTTGACTTCAGATTTACATGCCTTTTAGCTTTTAGGGAAGGTCCATTAACACAATACTAATCTGTATGGCTATTGTGCAATATTGACATTTTCCCAGAATCTTTTCATTCCCTCATATCTACTAATTTGAAATGCAAATGCAAGTGGAGTGCAGATAAATCCAGAATTTGGTATGGCGGTCTGTCATTAATTTTAATACAGATTTGAAACAAAAATGTGCCATAGTTAAAACTGTAATTACCATTTTGTAAGAAGACTATTGAGAGCTTGGAGACGGTGATCTGCCTAGGACCAGATGATAGTGTCTGGTTCTGGTTATTTTAACATAAATGCCAACTTCAGGTACTGTAGCTTGGCTCATTTTTTAGAGCAAAGTCTTCCAGCAATATGGATGTAATTTCTGATATTAGTATATACCTAAAATCAAAAGCATCATTACTGCAGTAGAAAGGGTCTGTTCTTTCAGTCTGACATTCTTTAATCATTCAACATAATAGAAAAGCAGATGCTGAAGAGCACTGCCCAACTTTTACCTTCCTTTGAGAGACATCACTCTCAAACTTCCATTATAGTTTTCTTTAATGATTCCTCAATGCCTTGTATAAGAAATTGTTTAGAAACATGAGCTGCACTATCCTATCTTCCATTTTAAAGCCTATGTACATAGGCAATTTGTTCATGTACTTGAGGTATGATCCCCATATACACAACAGTGGCAGTCTTTCTAGGTTTTTATCCCTAATTACCTGGGGCATTACAGGGCAGCATTATACGGTGGACTTGTCAGATGCTGGGTTGACTTATCCTTTTGGCAGGCCAGGACAGCCAATAGTTTTCCTCATAGACCTTTGGTCAACAGTTGTTGGGGAAGGCAAGTGTGTTTGAAATAAAATTTATAACAGATGACAAGAAGGTGTGTATTTTAGCCCCACCTCAGATGACCAAAATATCCTCCACTTGAAGAACACTTAAAGCCAGTCTTAGAAGGACAGTTTTCAATTTTATTTCATAATTTCATTGATGATGACCAAGACGATTGCAGTACCATCCACTCGATGCCAGAATGTTGTGGTAGGTGGCTTTATCTATTTGTCATGGAAGGGGAAATATGTATACTCCGTTACACACTTCAAATTTAAAGGGAACTCCAGAAAAAATATAGTAATCACCAAAATAAATATGTAAAGAAAATATGTATATAAAAAGCTGCTTTCCCAAGTCTATTTTTTTGGATGCACAGAGTGAAAGGAAAAACACTTCTGCACAGAACTTGAACCCTGCACTGAGTATTGTGGTTTGTCTCAAGCTGTGGGGTTGATTTGCTAAAGTAACAGATGCTGTTCACCTAGCAAAGTAAGTATTCTTAAAGGAAAGTGTATGTCCACTTTGCAAAGTGAATATTGGTAAATAAGGTGAAAATGTGGTTGTGTGCAAGGAAAAAAACAGGATGGGTATTTAAAATTAAAATATCTCCACCTTAGCTGCTAACCTTCACTTTGCAAAGTGAACCTACACTTTCCAAAGTGAACATTCACTTTGCTAGGTAAACATCCCATATTCCTTTAGTAAATTAACCCAGTTGCCCTGCTTCTGTGTGGTCCTAGTGACACCCTAGCTGTTGCATAAAATACAGCTTGATTTAACATTGGATATACACCCATCTCAATACCTTCATCAAAAAAGCTGATGTAAAGGGATTTATGACATTCAGCTTAGCTAATACTGATATAAGATAATATTACATACATTTTCTGCCAATTGTTATCCCAACTGGAGTTCTCCTTTCATAGTGTGATGGAAATATATGTAAATATTTTAGAATAGTTTTAGAAAGACAACAAAAATGCATTAGTTCATACAAATTGAATCTTCTTTTACATAGTTTAAGAAAAAAATCACAGTATTGTGCTTCATTATATTCTAAAGAGAACCAGTCAGAAATGAGAATTTGTAAAAGATATTTCCATTCTTGAATTTTTATAATAGTGCTTTTTTTACCGGTCAACCCTAGTATTTTGTCCTGTTACTTGTATTTAACTTTTATGTATTCTTTACCCCTCAGAAAATTGTCAGCTCAGTGTCAGGCTGTAAAACCCCAAAATAGTCTTACCTCAGTTATGATCACAGATACTCATAAAACTCTTAAATAGCAAAGTTGTTAAGAGGATCGCATTGAAGTCTTTGTTGATTGACTTTTAGCCCAAAGTGAATGTCAGTTTTCAGCCCTGAGTGGAGGCAGAAGAAGGAACAGCCTCTGTGAAGTGCACAGCATGACAATGAGCTAATACTTCTGCTGTCAGGGGAAGAGAATACATGAGAAAAACAGGAAACACAGTTGTCCTGGTTAAAGTTGCACTTCTGTAACAATTTAAGGTTGGAGATTAAAATTCTAACAACTGTCTAGATAGCATTTACCTCAATAATGGTAGTCTCCTTTCGTTTCTTTCTTACTCTCAATTCAGATGATGGATCCAAGCCAACCCCTACAATGGAGACCCGGCCTGTTTTTGAAGGAGATGGTAAGAGGGCTTTTCATCTTTTCATGGTGTATATACTCTTAGAATATTTTGGTGTGCTTGATATTTGCTTGAGCATTTGAGAAACTGACACATTTATGCTACATGTTAATTAAGCATCAAAGCCCAATTTTTTTTATTTAGTTTTGGATAGAGTGGGGCAGGGGCTGACTGGCAACTTTTAGCCCAGGGGGCAAGTACAACCCAGAGGCCCATGGTGCAGCAACTTGGACCCCCTCCCGCTCTGCCTCTTCCCCGCCTTCTCCCCGCCCCTGTCTGCCACTTTTGCCATCCATGCAACAGTAGTGAATGGTCGGCTGATGTGAGGACTCCTAGTAAGTTCATGAAATGTATTACAGCATCCCCTCACACTTACTTCTTCTTCTCCCCGCGTCCCTGTGTCGATCGTGGATGTGGGCGGGCGGTGAGTGTGAGGCAGCGAGGTGTGGCGTGTGGAGCGTGGATGCTGGTGGGCGGGACATTTAAAAAAATCCTCGGATTTGTTTTTTTTAAAAATGTGTCACCTTACCTGGGTGGTCAGTGGGGGGCTCCTTGGGGGAGGTGTCTGCTGTGGCCGCAGCTGCAGCGGCTCCCTCCCTCCACTGCCTCTATGAAACATGCACTGGGGAAGGTCTTGAATCACAGGTGTTTTAAAACTGTGTTGTCTGCTTTGAAACAGGGTAACATTCTTCATTCTGCAATGAACTTGCAGAACAGCTTTGTCAACCTATGGACAGTGCAGTCTTAGATGGACTTACAATTTCAGATGGACTTTAAGTAAGCAACAAACATAGAAGACAAAAGGAACAAAGCGCCACCTCCTTGTGTGAAATCTTTTTTTAGTTCAATAATAAAAACTGTTATAAATACTCACAATTATAAAATTTCAGTCACACTTGTCAATAAGAGACGGCAAGTCAGTGTCTAAGGAATGTTGCGCTCCGACTTCGTATAAAAAGCTGCCTCCGGTCACATCACCATACCATCTTGCCACCGGCTGCTTTTAGGCTGGATTTACGCATTTCAGGGGCATACCTCCTTCATCAGAATCACAGCTTGCCTTGTCAAAGGTATGCCCCTAAAAACGCGTAAGGGCGCCAAGAGTTAAATCGACTTTTTAAGCAACAAACATAGGATTAAGGATCCATTGACACCTGAACGCAATGTGCAGTGGCACAAGTGTTTTAGTGCAATGAGGTGCATTGCAGCACACTGCATTAGACAGCCCATTTAAGTGAATGGGCTGAAACGCACCTCAGTGCATTCAAAACGTACAGTAGGTCCTGCTGCAGTGCACTTTAACTCATATCGTGTGTTGTGTTGGGCTGAGGAACTCTTTAACACATTTTGGACATTTGTTAGGGTACCATTTAAAACGAATGGCGCTGCAACACACTAACACATAAAGCACGCGTTGTACCACGTGTTAGCACAACACGAATGGTGTGAAGGAACCATAACTCCAGCTACCAGCTAACACTTTTTAGTCAGTTACAGTGGCAGGGTTTTTTTTTTCTTTTGGAAAAAAGGTTTAAACTATTTGAATAAAAGCTAATGATTGTAAGCACCCCTGTTAAATGGTTAGTTCCAACCTCTTTAACCTAGCTTTTCCTCTGTTAAAGGATATGTGACAATCCTTATTGGCATTGGCATGATCAACAGGTAATAAAACAATGTTACAGGAGGCCTGTGTTAATGCTAGTGACAGACTGCAACATATATGTAATTTTGTCCATAATTGAACTTTAAAATATAAATGCAAATAATTGCAAACAGAGATTCAGTAACAGCATAGTGCGTTAAAAAGAAATATGAGGGTCAGTTCACTAATTCACAACCTAGGAGAATGGAGATATCTGAGGTAGAGATTATTTAAGGTGTCCTACGGAAAAAGTACCAATTCATGAGAAACAAAGACTTTCAATTGCTAAATTTGGAAATCATAGGAACCATTCCACACCTTAGCAAAATGTGTGTATGTGTACTAAACATATTAATTTAAAATATATTGTCAGATAAAGTGATGAACAGAATTTAATGAGAAAGCTTAGCATTGCTTTTAAACTTGATTGCTATGTCTCTTTAAATAAAGTTACATAAATCTGTATGTGCTAGTAAGAGTTGAGGTAAGTACCTCATCTGACTCATTTAGCTGTGTGTTGTGAATAGAGTGTAATATCAGCAGATTAGATCATGCAAGCTACCATGATTAGATCATGCAAGCTATTTAGGCTGGTCACAGAATAATAAATCACTGTACGTAAATGGTGGAGAATAATTTCAAGGGAACCACCTGCAAGCTGCAGGAATGTGTATGCTGCTCACAGTGAGTTGGTTGCTCAGTAGCCTGAGATTAGTTTCCTGTGCAGTTTAGGTCCGTATGGCCCATTATACAGCAATATTAAAAACATGTTTGCTTAGCATTAACAATTTAGTCCCTTCTCCTGTCTGCGCTTTTTTTTAAAGCTTACCTTTCATAGTTGTGCAATATTCTCTTGCACAGGCTTGAGGATTTCACTGTATTGCCTTTATTTAATTAAAAATCAAAACAAGCTAATATTGCACTTCGACCATTTTGCATTGGTGGCATCTGGTGTGTATCCTGCTGTTTGCACCTCTTGGTGCTGTTGTGTGCCATTATGCAGTAGCAAAACATGCTAGCCTACCACAGTGGCCTATAACAAAATAATGTGTCAACACTCCCTGAGTGTGCTTGCTTATATATTTGGAGTATTTGTTAAGTAAATTCCAGAATTAGTAGTGCCTGATAGTTATTCCTCTTCACATTTGTGAGTAGTTATTACATTTCTAGGGATATATTTTGTTTGAATCCAGCAAGTCTGTGTAATGAAGATGTCACCTGCCTATCTAGGGTGATTGTGTGTGCTTGTGAGAAATCATGATGGCTTTGTAATGAGACTACGAGCATGCCCAATGAGAATTTCAAATATCATGGGCTCTCTGTGTTACTAAAGCCACTGTCTCTCTTGTACATATGTTTAGAGGTCTGTTTATAAATGGTTTTACACATGATTCACACAACTCTAACCCAAGATTCATACTTTTTTCAAATTGGATTCATTTGGGAAAATGTTTAAATCCTGGGTGAAAGTTGTGGGAACCTTGTGTAAAAACAATTTGAATACACTTCTTAGTATGTCTGATCACATAATTTACATTAAAGATTGTTCTTCACAACTCAGAACAATTAGAAAATCAAAATGAAAGCCTAACTCTAGTTAAAACATTATAGTATGTTAGTATTAGAACCTATATGTGACAGGGTGTCATCAGGACAGGAAATAGGGGAAAACATACCAAAGGAAACATACAATAATCTAAGAGTTTCTAACACTTCCCTACTATATCCCCAAAACGGTTTGACTGGAGTTGGGCTTTAGGGTACTATTGCGTATAAAAAAAAACACTTATTATCACCCCCAAGAACCCCCCACAAAATAATGAAAACTGCTGAAACATTATTGCAAATATTTCACCTTTGTATCTTCTTATTTATCCACATGTGGTATTTATCCTGTCTGTGTTGCTCACAGTCACCAATTTTATTCAACATGGCAGAATACTGCTGAAAGAATGAAAGAATTCTATTGGTGACAGCCAAGTCAACGCAGAATTCATATTTTGTAAATGCTGGTTTTAAAAAACATATTAAGTAAGACAATTACAAAAACACTTTATATTGGCTCTTTTATGCCATGGTGTAAACATGCTTATAACTATTTTGATCTGTACTGGCCACACTGATCAGAATAAAGTGATTGTGCTGCAAAAGCCACAGTATGCACAATTTGTTCACAGCAGTATTTCTGTGTACTGCACAGTCAGCACTACTTTATACATTTCTGCAGGACTCCCTTCCCCCCAATCATTGCATTTCACCTATGGCACAGACAATCACTTCACATATATAATCTCTTCATTTAGAAAGTTGTGATGAACACCTGTTTCTTGTTTGATTTTTTTCACCACCTGATGGTTTCCAAAAGTGACAATGACCCAAGGGTCAGCAATTTCCTGTTCACAGCACATGGACAGGTTCAATCTGCTGCTCAGGAAATAACCTCCCTCCAGTTCAGGTCATGGACTGACATATACAATGCACAATACACAAACAGTTATGTGGCACGGCAGCATAGAGCTAATGGTGTGCTTTAAGGCTGTGTCTTTTAGGCAAATTTTGTTGCTATTCTTTTTGTGTTTATGAGAAATGTTTACTAGTTTAGAGGGTTTTTTTTTTTTTTTTTAAAGAAAACTGTAATTCCCCATTTGTCTTGGACCCAATTCTGTAGTAATAAAAAAGGATTGTCATATCCCGTAATCCCTTTGTAAACACCAGTGGAACCTTTGTCTGTTTGCAGTGGTCAGATGTCTGACCATAATACAATGTTTCTGAAAGCAAAATGAATGTATCCTTTGGTCATCTAACAATTTCAGGGATCACCTCTAGGTGATATCTTTAAATTACAGCTGTGGGTAAACAGAATTGATGGTAGTTACTTCAATTATGGTCAGGACTAACATATGGGACTTTAAAAAATATTTTTCTTTTACTTTAGTCAAGTAAATGTAAAAAAACTGTATTACTAGCATGCATTCTTACTTTTAGCCAGCAGGTAGAGCTTTAGGCTTTTTCTCTGACTTTCACATGTTTGCCAGTTTCTCTTTGCTTCCTGTTGAATCAAATCTGTTGTTTATAGAGCTCAATGACGCATGGTGAAAATTGCTCACACAAGTGCAACTGTCTGAAATGTAATGAGCTTCATGCTGGAGCAAACTTTTGATACTATATCTAAAAATACTTTTAACTCTTGAGTCCAGGCATTCCTCAAGTAACTTTGCTTACAAGCCCTAATGAAGGGGAAGCATGAGAGCCCCTGAAACGCACTGGCTTTCTTATCTTGTTGATTTTTCATAAAGAAATAATTATTCTGGACTCTCTCACCATTGGTCTGGCACCCTTACTGCAATTTACTAAGGTTTAATGAGAGACATCTTGCCTGAAAGAAGATACTACTACTGTTTGTTCTTTAGATAACCCGATAGAGTGTTTGTGTTATGTGTAGCAGATATTAGTATACATTTTGGTGTGTAATTAGTTTATGGGCATTTTTTGTTATTTAATATTTAGATGAGTCACAAAGAGGAGAATTTTTAGTTTTGCTAGTATATTTGTGGTTAAAAAACCTTTAATGGCTATTTAGACAGCACAGCAAGCTTCAAACCCTATTATTACAAAAGGAACCGTATGCTTTATAACAGTTACAAACTGTAACAAACCCTAAGCTTGTTACAGTTAGCCACTACGCAGGTTTTCCACCAGTACCAGAACTTTTGTCAGTCCGCTGTTTTACCAGCACTGGGGGGGGTGTTGGTCCACATCATCTATGAAAGTGAAAATACAGTGTGTTCCAAACTTCCACTGCATGGGAACATAAATCGCAATCTTTCCGCAATCTTTCATTAAGTAGACATTGGTGTATTTAATTATATCATTTACAAAAAGTAGTGGTATTAAAGATGTTAAGGAATCGTGGTTTGCCACTGTAAATTTTTACAATATTAACCAATGAATAATACCAAGGAAAAAGACAGAACCGGATTTAGGTTGTCTTGTTGTCAAATAGAACATGTTTCCCTGAGAAAATATTGGCATGCGTCAGTTTTCTGTAGGCTCATATGTTGTCTTGTGCATGTTCATGTGCTTATCAAGGGGGAAAAAAAGTATTTCCAGTCATCAGAAGGTCTGCTAACATCCGTTTGCAGACCTTCTGATGACTGGACAGACTTTTTTTGGATATGGATGGATCCAACATGTGATCAATTTAAGCATGTTAGTTGTCCAACCTGTTGATTGTGATAATTGCTAGGTCTGTGAAGTTCATTCCTTTGGGCACAGAGTAGACAGTCCAGTTTAGATTGTTCATGGTTCCCAATTGTCCCTTATTTGAAGGGTTTGTCCTTTTGGAATGAAATCACTCTGTCCCTCTTACTTCCTCAGTTGTCCTTCTTTTAAATTTGATGTACAGACCTGTGTAAAAAATGAACTGTTTACCTACCAAAAGTGTTAAATTCTATACTCTTCACCCAACCTCTAAATTATTATTATTATTATTATTATTACCAAAAAGTATTTCTGGCTTTAAAAAAAATTGTGTATTTGTGCCACATACTTTCTAATAAATGGTGCCCCTGACTGTCATCAGAGAATTGGGAGGTATAAGACTATTTAACAATGCACATGGGCAGTAGAAAACAAATATGTTAAATTGTATCTCTAGACAAAACGTTTTTTTGAAGTAGGGAATGATTAGAAACTACCACTGGGTGAATTCACCCTTTGTTTTTGTCGTGGTGACTGAGAAATCCCAAATCCTGGGAAATCCTCCAAAGGGGACAAATGCATATGTCTAAGAGTGGATTTGGCCTCACTTTTTAAAGATTTTTCCTTACTCCCTTTTGTGTCTCCGGCACAGGAGTTAAAGTGAAATTGCCTCAGTTGGTAACCAACAGACAAACAAGAAAAAAAAAACCACTTCACAGGAGTTTAAAGAAACCATTCATATTCCTCTTTCCTTTCTTCCCTCAAGGCTGTACATATTAAGTTCCTCCATTCTCTCTGGTTTACTTGGCAGACCTTGCACCATTTATGTAAGTGGGTCTCCCTAACTGGACACAGTGATGATGATTCTTATATGTTGTAGGCATGACACTTTTGGTATCGATGAATAACACATATTTTAGAAAATAATAAAAGTAGGTTTATTTAGGACTGATAAATATAGATAAATTGATGTTTGAATATATGGTAATGGTTTGGGTTTAGATAGTGAAATAATATATATAATTTATTTTCTTGACTTGCAGATATCACTGCACCAACATTATGGATCAAGCACCTTGTTATCAAGGATGCCAAGTTGAATGGTTCTAGTGTGAGACAGTCTGGTATGTATTCCTCATAATTGAATTTTTTTTGCTGTTTTCTTTTGATCGTTTATATGTTTATACGGTTTAAATTTGTGTTACTTTGTTTTTGTAGTGGTGCATTAAAAATATTTGATTATAGTTATAAGGGGCAAGTTGCAATATAAAGCTTTCACTTTGAGGGATGAGTCACAGAATAAAATTTGCACTTTTTAGTTAGTTATAATTTGTTTGCATATGCTGATTATTTATAAATCATACTGGTTTATCCACTTCATAACACCTCACCTATCCTGTTTGTATCTTCGCCTTCACCAGAGGATCTTGTCCGGCACTGAAGATAACAATTAAAAGTTGACAGGGGTTCTTAGCCTTCCCTAAAAATTAATTGACTTACAATTTATTTGTGCATTTAATTAAAATGGGTGGAGACCCATATTCTATTTTTAGTATATTTGGCATCATGTCTCACTGCAGTACAGTTTTAATAAGCAAATCATTTTTGTGAATCTATTGCAGTTTCGTACTTGGAGATCCTGCCAGTAACATATTTTCTTGTTGTAGGCTGACAGAGCTAAGCCACTGTCTAGCAAATAGCATCAGCATGGTCAGCCTGCCTTGTATACTCTTTCAGTTTTCTGTTGAGCTGCTTATCGTGTCTAGCACAGAAGGCAGCCCAATGACTGCCTGAGGGAGCACACATGGCAAGCTGACAATACTGCTGCAAGTTGCAAGGCAGCTTACTAAAAAAAAAACTGATTTTAGATTTACATACGATTTAAAATGTATGCATATTCATGCCTTTTTTATTTTCTGAGGCTTTAAAATATACTTTTCCTTTACCATCAACAGATTGCCACTGAAGTAGAGTTTGGCAACCATTTAGAAAGTATACCCATTCCTGGTCCTAATTGAAACTGACACTCGCAAAGCCATAAATAACACTGCAGCAGAAGCCAGATAATCCATTTAATGAAAAGGTGCAAAGTACATAAGATGGTGGGTGGGATGATGCAGGCCAATATTCTGCTTCCATCCATTGGCGTTGAAAGCCGCATGTGGCTGTAAAAATAAATGACAGCGTCTTGGCAGGGATTGATGGATAACTGTGAAAGAATTTGTTTTTTCTCCCCTTCTACCTGAAGGAGAGAGAAAACAGATGACTTAAGTAGTGTCAGTGACCTCAGGAGAAACATTTTGGGAATAAATTCAGAATTTGGGAGTAAAACAGAATTGGCCAATAAAACTCTTTTGTATGCCTTTTTGCATATTTACTTAAGCATATACTGTAAATATAATATAAATATTTGAAAACAGAGGCTAAAAATACAAATATATATGTATACTCGTGTCTGGCAGATTAATTCTGACTGCCTGGAGTAACATTTACAAACTCTGGTACAATCTACAGCACTCCCAGACTAGAACAAGTGAGATTAAAATACCATCATTATTAAATCTTCCATAAAAGCAGGGATGGCAAAATAGTAACATTTTGTGTATTTAGGACATTGTGCTCAAGTAGCATTTAAAGTGAAACTAAAAATGCACTTAAAAAGTACCTTAACTATTAACAGGGCTGCCATCAATGGGTACGGCCGATACTCATGTAAGGGGCCCGGGCAGCCTGAGGGGCCCGGGGACCTTACATAGGTATCGGCCGACGGCCATACAGGTGACTGGCAGGATGTGGAGGCAGCCGGGCCCCCGCAGCACCGGAGGAAGCCGGGGCCCGCACACTCCAGATCCTCACCTGGGGTGCTCTGTGCGGGCTTCCAGTGTCCCCCCCCTGTCTCCACTGCAGTGACTGCACATTAGGTTTTTAAAGATGGCCGGTGCAAGTAGCGGCAACCATCTTTAAACCTGGAAAGTGCCCACACTACATTTAATATATGGCCGAAGCGGCAATATATTAAATTAAAATCATTCCCTGGTGGTCGAATGGGGAATCAGTATGATATGCATCTCTTGCTGATGCAGACCATACTGATCGCTCCCTCGTGGTGCCGCTGCTGACTGGCAGGGAGCGATTAGTATGGTCTGCATCAGATGTACCGTTTTAAGGCCTGTTCACACCACTTGCCATTGAAGTGAATGGCGCCGTAGCCACGCCCTCCGGCCGCAATGCGATCGCCCGCACGGGATCGCAGGGCACATTGTGCCTGCGGTCCGGTGCGATCAAAATGCTGCAAGCACTATTTTAACCGCACCGGACTGGACCGCAGGCACAATGTGCCCTGCGATCCTGTGTGGGTCGTGGCTATGGCGCCATTAACTCCAATGGCAGATCTCGGCTTCATCAGCTTCTTTGGGGTCCCTAGGTGACATTAGGGGTCTGAAAGACCCCTGATGTCTCTATAAAGAGGACCTGTCACATTATATTTGCCATTAAATAGGGGACTTGTTAGCCCCCTATGTGATAGCAATAAAGCTGAGTGTAAAAAGACATTTCTAAAAATAAATGAAAAAAATTGCAATTTTTTTAACCACTTGAAGTCCACGGTGTTACACCCCCTTCCTGTCCCGGCCATTTTTCAGTATTCAGCGCTGCAGTACTTTGAATGACATTTATTCCGTCATGCAACGCTGTACTGAAATTCATTTTATACCATTTTTTGGGGACAGATAGAGCTTTCTTTTGGTGGTATTTAATATTTACTATAGTAAGGAAAAATTACCGAAAATTAAAAACAGAAATTGTTTCCCCTATATTAAATGATAAAACATTTATTACCCAATTTTTTGGTAAAATATACAAGACGGGGTCACGTCGGGTAAAAAGACACCAAACATGTCAAGCCTTAAAATTGCGTATGCGCGCGAAACCTCGAAAAAACTACAATACCCAAAATTGGCCATAGGCTTTTTCAAAGCTTTTACCGCTCATCAGTTTAGTGTTATCAGTGATTGATGGCCCTAAAATGATTACAACGTTCGCAGCGTTATGTAACATGTGTAGTGCAATTGACGTTTTCGCACGCTGGCGCATCTGACAGTTACGTTTTTATATGTGCGTATACGTGGGGGTGGGGGACTTTTTAAAAAACTTTTTTATATGTGACTTTTATTTATTTTTTTACTTTTTTTATTTTTTTCACACTTAATGTTATTGCTATCACACGGGGGGATAACAATCCCCCTATATAATAGCAAAGGCACATTGACAGGTCATCTTTATGGAGACATTAGGGGTCTCTAAGACCCCTAATGTCACCTAGGGACCCCCTAAGAAGCTGATGAAGTAGAGATCTGCTCCACCAGCTTCTTCTCTGGCAATAGCAGCCAGATGATTTGACAGGTGAATGTGTAATACATCACTTCCGCATTCACAGTAAGGAGGGAGATCTGCAAGGAGAAAAATGCTGAACTTCCTCCTGACACCATCCCGAGCCGGTCCTGGGCCCGGTAAAACAGCTCTATAGCTGCCAAACAGTGAATGTCAAACAGTCGGTAACGACTCCGCGCGCGAGTAGAGAAAAAAAGCTATCTAATTACGGCAACCCGCCCATGTGAGTTTGCCGTTCGTCCGTTTACGCCAAACGGTTAAGGTCTGCCGCCTCCGTTGTCCATGCACATACAACGCAAACACGTGTTGTATTCGCCTACGTGCAAAAACTAAAATTGCGCCACACAGGTCGCAAATCACTGATCGCGCTAAACTGATGAGCCATAAATGCATTTAAAGCGTCGCCTATGAGAAATTTTGGTTATCGTAGTTTTTTGCGGTTTCACAGATTCACGCAATGTTAAAGCTTAACATGTTTGGTATCTGTTTACCCGATGTGACCTCGTCTTTTATATATTACCAAACAATTGCCATTATATTCTGTTTCTAACATTTAATTTTAGTGTATGTTATCCTAAAAATACTTGTTTGATAAACATTTGCGCAAATATCATGCGACATAAAAAATTTAAACTAATATCTTTATATTCTACAGGGCCTCCGCTTTCAGAAAATATATAATTGTCTGAAGCTTTTTTCTGGCCAAAAATTCAGATTTTATCATGTGTGTGCAAATGTAAGAAATTGCTCCGGACAGCAAGTGGTTAATGAGTGTGTGATTTGTGTGTTTTAATGAGCGTATAAATGTTTGAATATGTGTGTTTCCCTATTTTGCCTAAGGCAGTGATGCTGAACATGTTTTTTTTTTTTTTTGCAATAATTTTTTTATTTTCCAACATAAACATAAAACATACATGGTACAGATATAATGATATTGATGCTGAACATGTTTTAAACCCGAGCGCCCAAACTGCAACGCAATACTAAAGTTATTTTCAATGTTGGCACTTTGAGATAAATTAATTAATTTTGCATTGCAGTTTGGGCGCTCGGGTTCAAAAACGTTCGCCATCACTATCCTAGTCTGACAGCGGCACAGACGAGTGCCCAGAGGTAGTGGGGGAGGGGCCGTAGATACAGGGAGAGCGGACCTACCGCCCCTGTGGCTGCACAAGGGCTCGAGGCTGGGGGGGCCCACTAAGATCTGGTCCCGTGCCCCCCACTGAAAAAATGGTGCCCGCATCTGCCCCTAGTGAGAACTCTTTGGTTTTTAAAGTTTATTGGCACTGGTAAGAAAATGTATCATGTATAGATGCAGATTGGGTTCATGTAAATATCTGGTTGTTGGGGCGACTGTTTACTTTTCTTATATTTTTTTTGTAGATTTTACAACCTGTTTAATTTTGTGTTATGTTTTGTGCATATCTGCTGTATACTAGTCAGATTATATAGTTTGCTGTGGTTTGTAATAGATGTGTGCAGGGCAAAAAAAATTGGTTCAGACGACACAAATGAAAATGAGAAACATTTTTATTTGTTTCGTCAAAGGAAAGTAATTTTAATGCTGTTTTGGATTCAGAAGCAATGAGCCCCCGAATCCGAAACCGCACAAAGAAATTGTAGATCGCGCGGAGGCCGTATCGGCCGCCAGCGTGTTCTGCTCATGCTGCCATTTTGGAGTATATCTTGCTATACACCAAGATGGCGGAACCTGAACATGTGGTCGCTGCCATCT